ATTTATTATTATCTATATAGATATTTCTAAATATACATATCATTATTTTTTTCCTTTCCTCAAACTATAATTGTTCTAACTCTTCTACTCTTTTATATCTTTTCTGTATACTCAAACCTATGGTAGGATTTTTTCTCTTATCCCAAAGTAAACCGGGTTTAAAGTGGCCCGACTGACCACTGGGAGGTGAAGATGCCGTAGAACAGCGTGTCGTCGGGCGGAGCCCCGGTTGCCGGGGGCAACAGGTCCATGTCCTGCAGCACGTTGTAGGGCAGCTGGCTGCCGGTTTGGCACCGCAGCTGCGCTTTGGCGAAGGTGGTCCAGCGCCTCTGAAGGGTCCGCTGGCCCCCCACATCACTCTGAGAGCAGGGGGGGGGGGGGGTAAAACATCTGGAATACAGCTGGGTAACAGCTGGATATACAGCTGGAAAACAACTGGAAACAGCTGGACAACAGCTGGAAATATCTGGATAACAGCTGGAAATATCTGGATATACAGCTGGATAACAGCTGGATAAAAGAGCTGGGAACAGCTGGATAACAGCTGGATAACAGCTGGATAAACAGCTGGAAATATCTGGATAACAGCTGGATAAACAGCTGGAAACAGGTGGATAACAGCTGGATAATAACACATCTGGATAAAACAGGTGAAAACAGCTGGAAACACATTAAACAGCTGGATAACAGCTGGATAAACAGCTGGAAACACATTAAACAGCTGGATAAACAGCTGGAACCACATTAAACAGCTGGAAACATCTGGAAACACAGGTGGAAACAGCTGGAAACACATCTGGAAAAATGTGTGGAAACACATCTGGAATCACAGCTGGAAAAACATCTGGAAACAGGTGGAAACACATCTGGAAAAACATCTGGATAAAACAGCTGGAAACACATCTGGAAACACATTCAACAGCTGGAAACAGAGATGGATAAAACAGCTGGATAAATAGTTGGATAAACAGCTGGAAACCACTGGAAACATGAACCGTCCAGTCCATCGGCCTCTGGGGGAAAGAGAGGAGGATCCTCCAACTTCTGGTTAAAACTGGTTAAAAAAACCCCACTGAGGGAAAGTGATTTAGGGATATATTCTTTAGAATGGAAAGGGGTATGAGATGACGTTTTCAGTGCATCAAAGAACCCGAATCACCAGTTGATTCATTTCAAGTTTTGTCTCAGGGCATACTGGACGCCCATCGATAGGTTCCATGTGAAGCACACAAATAGCCTATGCTGTAGTCTATGTAATAAAGATATTCCAGGTACCTATAAACACATGGTTTGGGATTGTGAAGAGGTTAAGTCTTTTTGGGAAAGGGTGACTTTTAATTGATCGGAATTATTAGAATTAGAGATTCCATTATAACCAAGTTTGCTGTTACTGAATGACAACTCACAGTTGAAAAATCTTGAATGGTCAGGATTAGGGTTAGGGTTAGGTCTAGGGTTAGGGTTAGGGTCAGGGTTAGGGTTAGGCGTACAGCATAAAGCTTTTCTTTCCGCACACTCACCATGCAGATCTGGGAAACGCGGGAGACGATGAATTTGTCGAGGAAGTCGTATTCTCTGCCCACTTCGCTGAAGAAAAAGTAGATTTTCTCCTCTTGTGGGATGAAGCTGGAGCTGATGAAGGTGGGATCTGTGGCAAACAGAGAGCAGAAGGTTCTCCTGAGTGGGCCTGAACTATGAGTCCTAATAGTTTGTGTGTTTGGCTTATATTGGCACACAGAAAATGTCCAACGTTAGCGAAACATAAAGCAGAAAGAAGCTTAACCCTATAATGCCAAATGCATCATATTTGATACGGTTTCTGAAATGTTTCTGAAATGTTTTGCATAATTTAATGGTAAAAACTTTGTTCAAAAACTAAATAAATAGCTCAGGGTTGTGTCTTCCAATAACAAACCATTGTTATGTCTATTGGACAGGACTCTGGGCAGTGTCAGAATCTGGCTATAATTATTCACTTTAGCATAGTATGCTATCACATGATCTATGTAAATTACTGATTGTTTTATTGTCTTTTACAACTATATTTTTGTGTCAAAGTCTCTGGCTGTGTCCACAGACTCTCTTTTCTCTCTTTTTCTCTCTCTGTTGCATTAGATCCACCTTTAGGTCGACACACACACACACACCATTGGTTACCACATTCCTGTTATCTGCATGAATTAGGACCTGGCCTGTTCATTTGTTCTCAGGTTTCCATCTGAAAAATCGGGCTGAAAGCAGGTTCTCACCCAATAAATGTTATTTTTTTTGTACTCTTGATCTACTCTGGTTTGTTCTCAGGTTTCCAACTAAAGAATCGGGCTAACAGTATGCTATCACATGATCTATGTAAAGTCCTGATTGTTTTATTTTCTTTTATAACTATATTTTGTGTTAAAGTCTCTGGCTGTGTCCACAGACTCTCTTTTCTCTCTTTTTCTTTCTCTGTTGCATTAGATCCACCTTTAGCTGATACACTTAACTGTGACCCAATAAATGTTATTTTTTATACTCTTGATCTACTCTGGTTTGTTCTCAGTTCCAACTAAAGAATCGGGCTAACAACTGGTATAAAAAAAAGCTTAAGACCCACAAATTAGCATTTAATTGGGACTAGGGTCTCTTAGGTTTCCTCCTTCTGTCTGCTCCTTTCTACGCACTTCTGGAAGGCTTTTAATGCCCTGCAGCGCTGCACCACTACAGCATTTTTAGTTGTTTCTGTATGTTTTGTGTGTTTTTTGTATTGTTTTATGGCTTTGTTGTAAAGCACTTTGAGTACCATTTGGGTATTGTAAAGGGCTATACAAATAAACATGATTGATTGATTGATTGATTGATTGATTGATTGATTGATTGATTGATTGATTGATTGATTGATTGATTGATTGAGAAAAATGGGGTTCATCTTCCTCCTTTAGCAGCCGAATAACCACATGGATCCACATATGATTTTTTATACTCTTGATCTACTCTGGTTTGTTCTCAGGTTTCCAACTAAAGAATCGGGCTGACAGCAGGTTCTCACCCTCCAGCCATCCCAGCGTGTCGTCCAGCTTCAGGTCGACCCGCTGACCCTCCCCCAGGTGCCTCGATATGACCGGCCGGTTCCCCCGGTAATCCGCCACCGTGCCGGTGTACAGCTCTCCGTCTGAGGACCAGCCAGAACTCACGGTGACCCCAAAGCATCGTTACAATACGCAGAAAATGTCTTACAGTAATCACAACTTTACAAAGTCAGACAAGGCCTTTTTAAAACTGTATAAACTGTGATTGTAGGTGGAGGTCAAATTTAGGGTCAGGGTTAGGGTTAGGGTTAGGGTTAGGGTTAGGGTTATGGTTAGGTTTAGGGTTATGGTTGGGGTCAGGATTAGGGTCAGGGTTAGGGTTAGGGTCAGGGTTAGGGTTAGGGTCAGGGTTAGTTTTAGGGTTATTGTTGGGGTCAGGGTTAGGGTTAGTTTTAGGGTTATTGTTAGGGTTAGGGTTAGGGTCAGGGTTAGTTTTAAGGGTATTGTTAGGGTCAGGGTTAGGGTAAAGGTTAGGGTTAGTTTTAGGGTTATTGTTAGGGTTAGGGTTAGGGTTAGGAACAGCCAGACCTCATGGTGACCCCAAAACGTCGTTACAATACTCAGAAAAAGTCGTACACTAATTTAAACTTTACAAAGTCACACAAGGAATTTAAACTGTGATTGTAGGTGGAGGTCAAATATATTTATCTTTACTGTCCAGATACTACGATGGTTTCTTTTTGTCTGGATACAAATCCAGCAAATGTTACAGCTTTGATTAAGTTCTGAGCTTCTTTCTTAATGAATTGAGAACCAATTGAATGCAGACCATGACATAGTTTGAGTAATATTACAAAGACTAGGTCATGTGATCCATCTGTTGATTATTAGAGTTAGGAAAGGTCAGGTTTAGGGTTAGGGTCAGGGTCAGGGTTAGGGTCAGGGTCAGGGTTAGGGTTAGGGTCAGGGTTAGGGTTAGGGTCAGGGTTAGTTTTAGGGTTATTGTTGGGGTCAGGGTTAGGGTT